GCAATCTGCCCGTAACGCGCAGAATCTGTCGAAGTCAAACTGTAGAGAACAACGGCAGCCAGCAAAATATTAGAAGCGCAGATAATTAGCACGTTTGGCCATGGCTGGTCGTGTGGGTGATAGTGCGGCTCGATACGGGTCTGCGGCGTGTTTTGCTGGTAGGCGGAGACAAAAACAAGATGCATTCGTTGGAACCCTTCGGTTTCACGGTTATGCTGTTCCGAATTGCGAAAGTGTACCCTTCTATTGCGGAGCTACCCATCCCGCCCATAAAAAAGACCAGGCTGGCAGGTACAGGTGCGCCTTCAAGTCATTATTCGCAGTTGCGCATCTGTCGGAAATCCATGTCTTACCTCATGGGTCATTCAAGTGACTGCAGCTCAGTGAGTTTAAGCCGTGTTAGTAGCCGCACAAAAAGTACGTCAGTTCTTTGGAGCACGTGATTTTCTGAACAGCGTTACTTATCCGCAGCTGTCTACGCTCTGTCGTCTAATTAACGTCTTGTGGCCAATTTGACCTCGCTTGTTCCAACTTTCATGTATAACACACGGTTCATCTACCCGGTGCCTTCCCCTTGGATAGAGTCGATCTCCGGCATCACCATACGTCATTCAGCTCTTATGGAAGTTTAGCACCCACTGTTCTCTTTCTATCCTAGCTACTGGGCTTCGTGGAACTACCCAAGGAAAGCCGGCTGATGCCGTTTGGACGCGCTCAGTTTTGGCTGCGAGCTCATTTATGAAGTGCCTAAATCACCAAATCCGCTGAAAACTTGTATACAGAGGTAATTTAACATCCTGATTACGAATATGACATTCATTCTTGGCGCTGCGCTAATGGAGGACACTACGATTATCTGCGCTCTGCTAAGGCTGAGCCCAGAAGATAATCGTAGTGTCCTCCATTAGCGCCAGCGCCAAGAATGAGTGTCATATTCGTAACCAGGATGTTGAATTACCCATGCATACAAGTTTTCAGCGGATTTGGTGATCTAGGCACTTCATAAATCAGCTCGCAGCCAAAGTGAGCGCGTCCAAACGGCCTTAGCCAGGAAAGCCGCGTAGCCGAGTTTCGTATCCTCCCTCCCTCATCACTGTACCGTCAGTGAGGTAAGAACCCCTAGCAGAACTAGAATACTTCCACCGCCTCCACAGCGTCCTGTAAGATCCCTCAAATAGCTCACACTCTTCCCAAAAATCTTAATACAGTAATGTACATGTCTTCAGCGGAAACGTCTATGAATGGTAGCTAATCATGGGCAGGAGAACAATGCTCATATTTGCCTAGTTGCAGGCCCATGGAGACTGCGCTATAGCGAGAATAGTGTTCGATGAAAAAGGAGACGCTTTGTCAGAGTGTTCAGTGGAACATTCAGACACCTCATCGCCTACAGAGCCACCCGTTGAAGATGGGAAGGAGGACGATCAGTTGGGTTCGTTTTTCGATCTTCTCTTCTTTTTCTTTCCATTGGCGCTAAAGTAGTTGAGGAGACCAGTTAACTCTGTATCCCCTCTCCGAAAGGGCTC